ACACACACACACACACACACACACATATATATATATATATATATATATATATATATATATAAACAGAGAGAGAGGGAAAAAAAATGCTTAAAAATATTCTTGAGTGAACGTCTACAGTACATCACTCATAGCTCATCACCATTCAAGCCTACCACACAATCACAATTGCCAATTGTATTCCAATTTTAATAATCATTTTTTGTATCAGATTAACCTCAAATTTGGTGGGTGCCTGTACCTCAGTAAAGTACATCTAATTAAAATACAAAAAATATAACTCTAACCATAAAATTGATCAAATTACCCCTACGAATATTTAATGGGTATTTTTATCATTTTATTTTTGTTGGAGTTGTTTAAATGTACTCACACCCAATTTTTAGATAAATCGAAATTTTAAAAAAAAAAAAAATTTCAAATACCACTAGACAATCATGGCCATCTAAAGATGATGATGAGTCATTACTGAAATACTGTAAATTTCTAAACTCACCTCCATCCAAACTACATCTTAAGATTACAGTTGTCTAATTGTTTTTAAATTTTAATAATTTTTTTACAAGTTAAAATCATATGAAAGTTTGTGTACACCTAATAACTCACACCTAAATAAATATTAAAAAAATAATTATCAAAAAATAAAGTGACAAAACACCCCTAAAATATTCATTAGGGAGATTTGATCATTTTTACTATTTGAATTGTTTTTCTACATTTTGTTCAGGCGCATCTCACTAAGGCGCAAAAATTGAGGTTAATCAGAATTGTAAAAAAATATATTAAAATTTAAATAGTATCAGACAATCGTGACTATTTGATGGACACTGGACGATGTTGAGCCATGTGTGAACTGTGAAGTACCATAAAACTTCACTCATAAATGTTCGAATAAACAGTAAAAAGAAAAAGAAAAAGTGACAAACTAAAAGAAAAAGAAGAAAAGAAGAACAACTCTTTGATTATAACTGACCAGATAATCCAAATCAATGTCACCCGTAACATGTATGGAGTTATTCTGATCTTTTTTATGCCATATCTTCTATAGTGAACCCTAGTATATCTTCCACTGTTCAGATAAGGGAATATCATAGTATAGACCCAACTCAGTATGCAAGTTTCTAAGCCCCCAAAAACACCTAATTTCAACCTATCCCACCAAAATCTTATCCCTTTGATTCACTCTATAAATTAAAGAACTGTGTAGAAAGCCAAAGGGAGCTGAAACACTTTCCCATCTGGTTCAAACAAAGCACCCAAATGATGACTGAAATTGTGCATGCGTTGGCACCTGGTTGTTAGACGAAGAAGCCAGGGCCTGAAGCAATTTTATGACATCCACAGTGTCCTCAAGGTAGTATTTGGCTTTACTTGGTTTTTGCCCCACTGTGCAAGCAAAAACTTCAGCTATTGCAGGCACAGTTGGGTCCTTTGTGGCAGTTGCGATGCTATGAAACATGTCCTCATCAGACCTGTCATCTCCAATACAAAGCACAAAATCAGCTGGCTTTCCCCTTGATGCCATGGCTGAGAGAAGCTTTTCAGCTACAACACCCTTGCTTACTCCCTGTATAATATCCACAAGAATAATAGAATGTAAGGCAGCAAAAGATATACCAATTCAAATTAGAAGCAATTTACCAGTTACCTCCAAAGTATGTGAACTCTCAATCAGTCATGATATCTCATAAGGGTCAGTGTACCATAATCTAATGGATAATGAGAAAATCATAGTCCATCGAGCCATCACCATACACTGAAATCATGGATGATGATGGTGAAAGGATGATCCACATGAACAGAACAAGACCCCAAAAGTGGGTTCCACCTTCTCTCTCCATCACCATTTACCATTTCAAAGGAAAGAGATAACCCAGTGGATTACGATCCACCTCCCATCTCACAAAACCTGGCAAGAACAGAGAAAATCTAATATGATCCTAAATCGATAAGCCACACAGTTTACCTCCCATATGTTGCAGATATATGACTTATGGCACATGCATAGCACAATACTCCTGCTGAGAGACAAAAAATAATTTTTAACATATTTAATACAATTCAAATTTTATTTTTTTTATTTTCATCTCATCCGTAAGTCATTTATGTTACTTTTATAGCTAATTAATTTTTTGTCCAAACTTTTCTAAACTTCTTTATGAAGTTATATTTTTTTAAATAAGCCAAATACCCTTGGAGAAATTCCTGTCTTTGGTAAGAATAATTAGCATATGAAAGCCCTTTTATTTTTTTGATTAAATTATCAAAGAGAATACAAAATACAAAATAAGGATACGTCACAAACAACACAGCCACACATCAGCAGCCAAGTCTTAAACTAAATTAGTGAAACCCAAAGGCCCAGAAGATGTGTCTTGAGTGATGAATGAATTCAAAATGAAATAATTCAAACACCAAAACATCATGTCAGAGAAAGCTGATAGGGAGCCAAAATAGTACATCTCAATCCAACCAGGTACATGAACATCAAACAAACAGCAAGCAAATATCACATTTAACCTATATACGGATAGATTGCTTACCTGTGGCTTGACTTCCACAATATGTTGACCCCTCTTAACAACCGCTGGTACATTGGCTAGAACATTTTCCAGGTGATCTAGAAGCTCCTTTGCCTGGGATGATCCAAAGTCTGGATCAGCTTCTTGATGATGCCAAACCAATGCACTTTCTTTGTGCTCAATGTAAGAGCCATCAGTGGTTTCAGTATATAGTTTCATCACAGGTCCAACTATCTTTTTCCAGTCAAAGTCAGCACCTAATAAACAGCACTCCCAAGAAGAATCCTTACTCCACCTACAACGTGTAAAACTCAACAACTCATCCAAACAGCACAACACAATGAAGTACTAGCGTACAAATCAAGGGAATTTTACTATAATCTAAAGGACTATGGTATTCTCATTGTCCATTGGGGACATCACCATTGAATGAAATGATGGATTGTGATGAAGAGAGAGGGAAAGTCACCAGAACAGGGCATAAACCCAAAGGTAAAATCCATTATAATCCAACAGTACCCAGAATCCCATGGACTATTATAGATTCATAATCCATTGGGGTATCACCATCCAATGAAATGAGATGGTGCTGCCTGGAGACCACCCCAAAGGTGGATACATCTCTCTATCTAATGGGTCTCCATAGTCATTGGACTAAACTATACTTCCCAATAAACAAACCACTACTTGCTCTAACCTCAGCAGATAATCCCAAAAAGAACAAACACCACCATGCCAAAAATCTCAATTACCAAAAAGCCAAAAAAAGCGCTTACCTTACAAAGTACCCATGCTCAGCTGCAATCCCCAGCTTCTCGCAAGGTGAAAACCAGTCACTTAGAGAATCCTTCCCTCTTCCACTAACAATAAAGACGATGTTTCTAGGATCACTACATAAGCCATTCAATACAAATATAACATCAGAACTGGGTGTTTTGCTAATGGAAGTTTGTGGCATCATGGTGCCATCGTAATCCAACAGGATCACCCTGCTTCTTGTATTGCTATAAGCCGACACAATCCTCTCAACTGAAAGTTTTCTGAAGTTGGGGCCAAGAGCCACAACCCTAAAACTCAAGCCAAACCCCATTGCGCAACACCTCTTAAGGAAATGATCTTGACATCCTCTCTTCAAGTCTTGGTCGAAACTTCGAGCCCAATAAGCAACATCATGGGAAATCACGTACTTGTAGTGCTTCTCATGCCGCATTTGCTTCTCTGTATCGGCCATTGTAATGGCTGAATTCATGGCTTCTGCTACTGCCTCAATGTTCCATGGATTGACCCTGATAGCTCCACTAAGGGAGGGTGAACACCCAATAAATTCAGAGACAACAAGCATACTCTTTCTTGGAGTATCATGAGCCAAACCAAAGGCTTCATCCAAACTAGCGCTTCCTTGTCGACAAACCACGTATTTATAGGGAATTAGGTTCATACCGTCTCTAACTGCATTCACCACACAGCACTCGGCAATGGAGTAAAAGGCAGCTTTCTCATGGGTTGGAACTAGGCGATCGATGAGGACCACAGGCTCATAACCTGGAGAACCATAAGCCTCATTAATCTTTTCAGCAATGACACGGGTCTCATTTTGGACCTCCTGTATATCTCTGCCCCTGCTTCTTGCTGGGTTAGCAATCTGAACAAGCACCACTTTGCCTCGTAAATTTGGGTGATCCCTCAAGAGTAGCTCCAAAGCAAGAAACTTGAAGCTAATACCCTTAAACAAATCCATATCATCCACACCCAAAAGCACCACCTTTCCCTTGTATTGCTCTTTGAGCTCTTTGGCCTTGGTTGCCATCTCGGTTCGACTTAGAACCGATTCAATCTGACCCATGTGAATTCCAACAGGGAGTATCTTGATGCTCACAGTCCGGCCATAATACTCGAGCCCAATGTACCCACGTTTGGACTCGTAATCGAGGCCAAGCAATCTACTACAACAAGAAAGAAAATGGCGAGCATAATCGAAAGTATGGAATCCAATCAGATCACAATTAAGAATTGTCCTAAGAATCTCATCTCGAACAGGTAAGGTTCGGTAGATCTCAGATGAAGGAAATGGACTATGCAAGAAAAACCCAAGTTTCACACGAGGGAACCTTTTTCTTAAGTAAGAGGGCAAGACCATTAGGTGATAATCATGAACCCAAACATAGTCCTCGTCTGGGTTAATAACCTCCATTACTTTATCAGCAAAAGTCTTATTTGCACAAACATAAGCTTGCCAATGGGATCGATCAAATCGAACCCCATGATTTCGAGTAATCGGAAGCAGGGAGTGGAAAAGAGGCCAAAGATAATGCTTGCAGAAACCATGATAAAATTTGGAATGAGTTTCAGCGGTTAGAAATGTGGGGACACAACGAAATTCCTTGAGCAAGAACTGGGCAATATCGTCCTGTTCATTTGGGCTGATCTCAACCCTGAGACAGCCCACATATATGACTTCTATTTGTTTCGGGAACCCATCTTGGAGTTGGAGGAGGAGAGAGTCCTCGTCCAATTCGAACTCCCACTTTCCAGTTAAGGCATTCTTTTGGGAGCGAAGGGGAAGTTGGTTAGCAACTATAATCCTTCGCTCTTGAACCATGGAATATACCATATCTGAAGGTGCTCTATTGTTTTGACTTTCATCATACACACAATCAAAGTCAGAAAGTATACCTGGATCTGTCATGACTCGAGGTAATTTCCTAAGTGCTCGGTCGAGATTGGGGAGCTCGTCACCTGAGGCTAGGTTCAAGAAGTTGGTGCAAGACCTAGATAGCATCTTTCCTTTCATGATAGATGGGCTTTTATATCTCATTTTGGGAAGGGGGGAGCGGCGTCAATTGATAGATGAGCCTAATCCTTATTCAAAAATAGGGACTTGTTCAAATATAGGAAATCGTACAATCTGTATCAGTAGGAAATGCCCGGATTCTTGTCCAAGTTCACGTTCTGATTGAAACAGCAAAAAGCAGACACTTTATTGCTGATATAGTCGAATCCAATGAAAATTAGCAGCTAAAGACCAGGAAACATTATTTCTAGGACCCAGAGTGAACTGGTTCTCAACCATATTTAGGTTTCAATGGAAACAACAATAAGGATTGACGAAAAGAGCCACGTTTTATTGCAGGAGTAACCAAATCCTATGAAAATTAGAGGTGTAGAGCACGAAAGAAAGAGGTCATTTTCTTGACAAAATTAAATTTCGATAGAAACGATAGAAGCGATAAGGATTACCAATGAAAACAGGGTTCTTGTTGCAGTAACAGGGGAGTCCAATGAACAATATCATCACAAAGCAAAATTAGGTTCATCTCACAATCAAATGGAAGCCCAAATAAAATTACCGTTTTATCAAGGAAATTTACAGCCAAGAGTTAGGTTAAGGTCTATGAACGATTATCAACCCTGATTTTCCCCATCATAACCAGACTCCAAACAAATAGTGATTCATCATCAAGAGTTTCACGCCAAAACCATTCATTCCAGAGACCAAATAAACCTAGGTTTTCATCTCCGAGTGTTACAAACAAGCAGCTCAAATCTTGAAGCTCAAATCATAAGGTACACAGAATCTATTATACCATTCATTTGCAAAGAATTCAGAAGAGAGAGAAAGCTTCGCTTCTATAACAAGAAGAGAGAGAAAAATCGACCTTTCAGAGAGCGTTAGGGCACAGCAGAAGAGAGCTCCATTAAAATTATACCAAAAGATATTAACTGCCTCCTCTGATGCTCTAAGGCGTGCACTCTTTCCTTCCCTCCCTCTCTCTCTCTCTCTCTAGAAACTATTACTCACTTTCTCTCTCTAAAAATGCCAAAAAAATTGCACTTGTCACCCCTGTCGATATTTAAATTCAGCGATTTACCGGTTTTACCGGCTTCCTCCAATCACCGTACATCACCACCAAGTCGGAGTCAGGGATTATCCGGTCGATAAAATAACAGTAAAAGCTAAAAGATTTCCTACTCCTGCGAGAGTATACTATTTATTTATTTTCTCTAATATGACCGGAAATACTTTTTGGATGTAATCTTTATAACCCATGCACTAATAGCAACAAAAATAATTTCGGAAATAAAATTTTTATGTATTAGAAAAAATTAATATCTTAATATCGAACATAGACCTGTCTAAGTTTTGAAGAGCTAGATCTAAGCATCACGAAATTAGAAATTCAATTTTTTTCTTTTGAAAATAATATTTAGTGGTTTCCAAAATTTTAGACGGGAACAATCTTTCTCATTTTTGCGAGAGGGAGTATACAAGTAGTATGATCTCGCGAGAACATACATAGTATACACATATCTATATCCACGTCTAGTGCTATGACGAATTTACCGTGAGTATCCGCACGAAGAAAATAAAGAATAGGGAAGTGATTGCTTATTGATTTAAAGGGCAATGTAGTCATTTTTGTGATGAGTCACGCCCATGCGCGTGTATACAGTCCAGCAGGGAACCTTCAAGAGATATTGTTGTTTATTCACGGCACGTCTTTTTTCCACGACCTCTTGAAAATCACGATATTTTTACCAACCTTTTTCTTATTCGGGTGTGGTTTGCATGAGGTTAACCTTTAAACAGTCAAATTAAGGCGTACTTCCAAATTTTATTATTAATGTAATTTCGGTATCAAATTTTCTAGGATCCCACCATGAGGTTCATAGGATGTCAAAAATTCTTATCATTCGCAGCTTTGTGCAACATGAGATCTGCTCGAAGAACTGTTGTTTGGTCCCTTTCTCTTTTATACTCGATGAATTTGACCTTTGATGACAACATCCTTGACAATTCTGGAGGCTATGGTGGGTTGATTAGAAATTATTTGGGTTGATTAGATATTCAGATGTGTGGAGTATTTCTATTGTAAATGAAGCGGAGGCCATAAATCTTTTGGAATGTTTGAAACTTCTTTCACGGTAGGAAGGGCAAAAGATTATTGAAGGAAATTCGATAAATGTCATAGTTTGGAGCCGTGAAGAATTTAATGCTCTATATAGCTTTAGAGTATTGTTTCATGAGATTAGGAACATCGTTTCTTCTATCAATCCCAATTTGCGTCATTCCTTTTGTGAGGCGAATAAGGTGATAGATGCTTTAGCAAACTCCATTTCTCTGCCTTTCAAATTTTCTAATGCTTACTCATCTTTACTTCTTATATATCTTGTATTTTGTGACTCTTTTTTTTATTTAATGGAAACGTTGTGTTAATTTTCAAAAAAAAATAAAATAAAAAAAAGGTTTTAAAATCCATTTTAATCTCTAGTTATAAAATTTTAAAACTCTAAAAATAATACTTGTAAAGTTTGAAAATAGACAGTTTAGATAATCTATTATTAGATACATTATTTTTGGTATTCGAAATCTTTTTTTCTTTTGATATTCATACATCTCGACATCAAGATGATCAACTAAACGGCTTTCCAACATCAAGACAACCTTTTATGATGGATTTTTAAGGTGAACTTTAATTCTACATTTCCACCCATAAAATAAGTGGAACCTTTTTTCTTTTTTTCTTTTTTCCTTCTTTTTTTTGTGTGTGGAGAGTGAGCCTCTTCCGGCGATAGCGACCCGTTTGGGTGTGAATACAAGAAATTGAGGGTTGACTCTTGGTCTTTTCAAATAATTTGTTGTTTTGCACCCATATCTAGATTATCGAGTGTGATTTAAAAAAATATTTATGCTAGAAATTTAAAGAAAATGTGGCCTATTTGATTCGGAATCGCATGGGATGGATGGAAATCAAGAGGTGAGCAATTCTGATATTAGGAAATTGGAAATTAGGTTTTGCGATATGAAATTGTGTGAATTGGATCAAAATCAGGAGGTTAGAAGCTCCCTACAATTAATTAGATCAATTAGGTCATTTCAATTTTCTTTTTAAATATATCCTGATCTACATGGGGAGTCGGGATATAGGATCCAACTCAGATTCTCAAATAACGGTCTCCTTTTTCGATTGAATCGGTTTTTAACCCATGCTTTTGGAGTTTTGGTATTTCCACCGAACACTAACGGTTACCGTCGCCGTTAAAATTGGCAGCCAACCCATTGCCTAATGCTTCCACAAGTGATATCTTGGCACGCAACCATTCGCCGGGGCCCACAGCGTCAGTGTGGGACACGTGGAGGATTGTATTGGACGTTGGCGATGACGTCGCATGGAACCCGTCATCATACGTGTTTTATGCTGGTTGGCCCACCAGTGCTCTGGTTAAAAGATTGCTTGGAATTGCCACGTGTCGGTACCGCATTTGTGTGGGTCCACTTTATCTGGAGGGCCAGGTCATGACATTTATTTGGACATGGTGAAAGAACAGGGAAGCGGAACGTAGCAATCGATATTAAATGACTGGATACATAACATTTTCTTTCTCGTTTAACATATCACTTTCTTTTCTCCCTCCTTACTCATTATTGGGAAAAGTTTATATAAGATAGAAAGTTTAAAATGTAGAATTAAGGTCCACCTCTAAAGTTCTTATGAAAATGTTGTTGTGATGTTGGAAACATATTAATTTATCATTTCATGGGATGTATAGATATGGAGAAAAAAAAGATATTTCAACTCTTTCAAATAGTATATTTTGCAAAACATTATTTTGGCCGTCCATTTCCAATATTTTCATATATTTATAGATCTGATTGATTTGATTCAAGGTTTAAAAAACGGATCGACGACCCAGATTGTCCTCCCAAAAAAACGAGTCAGATCGGTAGATCGGCGTATCGAATTGGAGAATCGGCCAAATCAACAAGTTTTGTTGCAAAAAATTACTATAAATCTCTAAAATGATGTTATTTTAGTTTCTAAAATAAATTAGGAGTGATGCATTATGTACTTTCATTATTTTATAAAAATAGGTGAATACTGAGATGATGTTTTCCTATCTAGATATTTCTATAATTATTAATTGTAATATAATATTATAATATTACCTCACAATAATTTAAAAATATTAGAAAACACTTCCATATTATACGATTAAAAAAATTATTCACATATATAGTGAAATTAGTATCACATCAAACATTTATTAATTTACTTAACTCGTCCAAAACTATCACAATCTAACTAACTTTAATATTATACATTGAAATTGAATGTTGATTTATATTTTATAATCATTTTACTATACAAATAAGAATTAATTTGAAGTTTTTCTTATAATATCATCTAATTTAAAAAATCTAATTTACAAACTACAACAAAAATTAATAAATAATATAATTTGTAATAAAAGTATTATTAATAAATAATATATAAGATTTGGTTATCAACGTAATTAGTGTAATTAGTAATTATATTATTATAATAAACATGATTCAGAAAACAAGATGGTTATTGCATATATATTTTTTGAAGTGCTAGTATGTTTTTATAATGGAATTAGTTTAAAAATATTTTAAATTGCTAATATATTTTTTAAACAAAAAGATGACTCTTGCAAATATATTTTGTGTGGCCACCTGAATAATTATGTATTTTTATGGGCAATTGCTTCAACTTCATCCCTTTGCATGCATAAAGCAGTTGGATAATTGTCTCACACATCGACAATTCTAGAGAGAATAGAGTTATCTATAAGGCTTAAGGCATGTGCATTTACTTGCTCTTGGTTGAGTAGGATGCATGTGCATGGTCAATGTGCAATTGAGGCCAATTAATGCTTGTGAGACCCTTTTATTTAAAATGTTCTAGACACAATAAAACAATGTGATGTTTCAAAAATTAAAAGTGAATTGTGATGTTTCAGTGACATCATAACCGGTTTGATGATGTAAGAACCGGTTTCGTGATGTCAGAAATGTACGAACCTGTTCGTACCGACCGATTCAAGGGTGGACCGTACGAATCCTGATATATGATAGGATCCAGTATGGGCAGGACGATCCCCGACCTATATCGAGATTTTCTAGATCAGAACATTGAATTTTTAAACGTTGATTTGACCCAATTTTGGAATTTAAAATTTTATAATTAGAGATATAAAGAGATTATCGCACCACCCTAAGAATTTTTTACATAAAAATTACATTTCATGACAAAGTTTGAATGTACACCTTAATTTGACACCCTTATTTATTTCTTAAAATGTTAACGGTGATTTATTTTTTGTACAAGGATGTCATAATCGTCATTGAATGTTATATTTGAAATTAGGTGGTTGAGGATATTTATTTAGGCACAAATTTCAAAATAAAATTTCTTGCATATTGTGACACATTTTCATCTATTGGATTTCACATCCAATGGCTAAAAGTGATTATGACCTCCTTATACTAAAAATAAATAGTCTCGTAATATACTTTTTTTTTTAACGGACAACATTTATATAAGGTTGCAACCTTGGGTGCACCTAAAAATATATCGGAAAAAGCTATTTTGATGTTGAATTTTTTTTTAATTGATTATCTCAACATCGAGATCCATTAATATAAAAAAAAAAAGATTTTGAATGTAAAAAATAGTGCATCTTCCAACACATTATATGAACTGACTATTTTCAAAATTTTCATGTGTTTATAGATCTACTTGATTTGAATCTTTTTTGAAGTTTCAAATTTTATAATTAGAGATGAAAATGGATTCTATATACCTAAATTATGTCTTCTAATAAAATTTGGAGGTGCGCCTTAATTTGATTGTTTAATGTTGCCACCTTATGCAAACTACACCATTCTTTTCTTTTCTTTTATTTTATTTATTTATTTTAAACTTTTTATGAAAGAAGTATTTTCATGGTGAAGGGGATGTATGGAGATGTGCTATGATACGCCTATTCTCAAAGATTTTGTTGCCACTTATTTTATTTACATAGTATCTATTT